TTCCGGCTCAAGCGCCTCGGCGCGAAGTTCAGAGCGTTGGAATGCCACGACGGCCGGCTCGGTCTCGCCGCGACGGCGTGCGAGGGCCTGACCCTGGAGAAGGTCTTCGACGACTTCAACGACGACGGCGCGGGCAAGGCGTCGCTGGCGCTCGACTTCGACGCCGCGCGCGCGCACTCGGACCCGCCGGAGCCGCGGCCGCGGTCGAGTACGTACGGCGACGCCGTCGACCGGTCGGGCACCGTGTGGAATTCAAATCTTCAACCCGACTTCAATGTGCGCATATGCGACAGTTTCGACGCAAGCTCTTCGGCTGTGCTTCGAGAACTCGACGAGAGCAATCGATTCGTCCAAAAATCAGCCGAATCGACTTCGATTTGACCGAGCTAGAGAATTCTCAAGTTTGGTCAGGACCACCCAAACCGGTGGTCGAATTCCACACAGGTCGGGCGTCGACGGCGCGGCCGCGCTCGTCAACGCGGCCTTCTCCGGCGACGACGTGGGCGACGGCGGCTCGGCGCGCGTCGGGTTGTCCCCGGGGGACTACGGCGACTACTACAGCTGGCACGCGGCGCACTCGCGGCGCGCCGTCGACCTCGGCGAGGACCGGGTGCTCCACGTGCACTACGAGCGGCTCCAGGCAGGGCAGCAAAAGGGTGATTCAACGTCGCTTCAACGTGAGTGTTCCGCGCGCGCGCATTCCGGAAAAAACGTCCACGCTTCGAGACCGTCCCGAGAGATGATCGCTCGTCCAAAAATCAGCCGAAACGAGCGGAAACCGACTGAGATAGGAGCCTTTGAAGTTGGGAATTTCGCACCCTTTTGCTGCCCAGGCTCCAGGACGAGCCCGAGGCCGTCGCCCGCGACATCTACGCCTTCCTCTACCCGACGGAGTCGTCGCCGTCCCGCGAAAAGGTCGACGAGGCCGTCCACTTCGCGTCCTTCGCGGTGACGGCCGCGCGCGGCGACGACGCGCTCCGCAAGGGCGTCACGGGCGACCACAAGATCTACCTCTCCAAGGAGCACTGGGACGCCCTGGCCGTCAAGTGCGCGAAGCGCCTCGCCCTCGAGGACCGCTGCGCCTACCAGGTCGCGCGGCTCACGCAGGACTGCCCCGCGGCGCTCCGCGCGGTGCCCGGGCCGCGGCGCGCCGCGATCATCCAGGCGCAGAACGACGCGCCCGCGGACAACGTCGTCGTCGGCCGCGACTGGGCGCTGAGCGAGAAGGACGTCCTCTTCGACGGCGCCGGGTCGCCCAAGGAGGGCAAGCGCAAGGGCAGCCGCGTGTCCAAGGCGCTCGCGTCCGTGCGCCGGTCCATGACGCCGGGCAAGTAGCCGGGGCTCGCGCGCGCCCCTCGGTGGGGTGATTCCCCCCCCCCCGTAAGAGCGCCCCCGTCGAGACGGCGAGCAAGGGGCGACGTTACACAGCGTACCCGTCCTACATGAGCGAACACAACGTCGACTCGGCGCCCGCCGCGGTCTGGCGCTTCAGGAGCGTCGTCCACGCCGCGAGCGACGCGAGGACCTCCTCCTTGTCGAGCGTGCCGTTCTTGTCGAGGTCCGCCTCGGCCATGACGAAGTCGACGTCGTCGTCCGTCACCTCCATGATCGACGGCGCCGCGCCCGGCTCCGTGCCCGTGACCTTGTTCACCTTGTCGCGGTACGTCGTCTTGTCCAAACGGCCCGACGCGTGCGCGGCCTCCAAGGTCTCGAGCTTGTAGGCGCGGCCCTTGGAGTGCACGACCAGCGACGCGCCGTCCTTGAGGATGGTCTCGAGCATGGCCTTGATCTCGACCTTGTCGAGCGCGCCGGACCCGTCCTTGTCGAACTTGCGCATGACCTGATCCAAATACTCGTGGTGCGCCAGGTACTCCTTGTAGCGCATGACCGCTTCTTTGATCTGCTCCTTGTTGACCTTGTCCACGTTCTTGCCGCCCTGCGCCTTGGCGAAGAGCTTGTCGATGGCCTCCTGGTCCACGTCCTCCGTTTCGTCCAAACCCTTGACGAGTTCGGCGAACTCGTCTTTGTCCAGGCCGCCGTCCTGGTCCCGGTCGTACTTCTCGAGCCATTGCTGGAGCTTCTGCTCCTCGAGGCCCGCCTGGTAGGCCTTGGCCTCCTCGAGCTGCTGGCGCCGCGACTTCTTCTTATTCCGCGCCATGTGGCGCGCCGCGAGGGCCATGGCGCACTCAAGGGCGCGGGGCGGCGCCGCGGTGAGTTGCCGCCGGCGCCGAACGCCTCGCTGCGTGCGCCCAGGGGTTCGCCGGCCGGCGATTCCGACCGCGCGTCGCCGAGTCGTACACCGCGGGCAGGTACGGCGACCAGGGATGCCACAGCACCCGGCGGCCGCGAGGGTGAGCGGCGCTGGAGGGCAGCGTTCACGGGCCGCGTGATACGTCGCATTCTTGACGCCACGGAGAAGTCGTGGTTGCACTGGCTCGAGAGTGATGGCTTGGCGCGTCGCGTGCATGCTGCTTGCCGCGCGCGCCTTCCGGAGCCCGCCGCGGCGGCGCTTCGCCGCGCACACGCTGCGACGAGCCGTCGACGGCGCGATCGACGACGTCGACGTTTGCATCCTGCCGCCGAGCGAGGAGGAGGTGGCCGACAGCGCGAAGGACCTGCTCGCGTCGACGCGCAACTTCGATCTCTCGCTGCAGTCGCTGCCCGTCGTCGCGCCGGTGCTGGCCTTCGCGTCCTACCAGCAGGTCGCGGGCTTTGCGCGCCTCGCGTTCGACGCCCTGTCGAAGGCGCGGAACTACGAGTCGGTGGACGGCGGCGCGTACGAGATCGCCATCCTCACGCCGACGATCAACGGCGTCGTCATGCCCGCGCTGTCCATCGCCTTCGGTACGCTGACGGCGACGACGATCAACACGCTGCGGCAGCGGCAGCTCGACGCGCGGACGCAGCTGAACCGGGAGCTCAGCGACCTCCAGATGCTGCGCGTGATCCTCGAGATCGTCTTCCGCGAGGACCGCGGCGGCGACGACGAGCTGCGCGCGTCGCTCCTCGCGCGCGACTACGTGAGCCGCATCATCGCCGAGAGCGCGAGCAGCCGCGCCCTGGAGACGCGGAGCGTCGGCAACAACGAGCTCGTGAGCCTGTCGGCGCTGCTGCTCGTCGCCGCGCCGGACGCGGGCCTCGCCTACACGAACCAGGCGCACGCCGTCGTCGCGTCGCTGTCCGCGTCGCGCGCGAGCCGCCTCGCGGTGCTGTCCACGGCCTACCCGCCGATCCACTTCGTCGTCCTGGGCGCGCTCGCGTCGTCCATCGTCGTCGCGTTCTTGCTGGAGAGCGACCAGGAGGTCCTGCGCTTCCTCGACGCGCTCCAGCTGCGGCTGCTGTTCACGATCCTCGTCGGCGTCTTCTCCGCGCTCGCGGCGCTCGTCGTCGACCTCGCGGACCCGTTCCGCGGCGCGTACCGCATCACGCCGACGGTCGCGCAGCTCTTCCCGCTCCGCGAGGCGTTCGTCGCCGACGTCTGCGCGCAGCAGGGCGCGGCGGACGCGGACCGCGCGGACCGCGCGGACCAGGCCGCGCGGCGGCCCGGGACCCAGTTGTACTAATACTCGTCGAGAAGCACGGCGGCGACCCAGGACGCGCGGGCCACGGTCGCGATGGCGCCCGAGTCGAAGACGACGGCGAAGTCCGGCCCCCGCCCGTCGTCGTCGAGCACGAGGGCCTCGCAGTCCGCGCCGTCGCGGCGGCCGCGGACCGTGCACTTGGCCGGCAGGCGCACGTTGTCGGGCTTGATCCACGCCGCCACGCCGGTCCGCAGGATGCGCCCCCGCGCGTCGATGGTCGGCGGCGCGCCGCGGCGCTCGTCGAAGCGCGCGGCGTAGCGCCGCCGCTCGGCGTCGTAGGCCTCGAGCACGCAGGCGACGCCGTTCAACTCCCGGCGCCCCTCGAGGCGCACGGCCGCGGCGCCGCCGACGCGCGGCTTGCGCCAGCGCGCGGCCGACACCGTGACGACCTGGTTCGCGATGGCGTAGCCGCCGTCGGGCCGCCGCGAGATCGCGTGGCCCTGGCCGACGCTGATCTCGACGACGGACCCGCGGAGCCCCCAGTGGCAGGGCGACTCGTAGCGGTGGAAATACACGGAATCCTCGTAGCAGCCGTCGTCGTGGAAGTGGCAGGGGAAGACGCGGGGCCCGCCCGCGCGGCCGCGGAAGCGGCCGCGGAACTCGATGCGCCACTCGCAGCCCGTGAGCTCGAGGTCGCTCAGCGCCGTGCGGCCGAGGTCCGCGAGCGACGCCGCGTAGGACTCGCGCCAGCTCAGCGCCCGGAGCGCCTCGGCGCGGCGGAGGTACCGCGCGACGTCCGGCGCGGGCCGCGTCTCGAAGACGACGCCGTCGTCGTCGTCGTCGAGGGGCCGCGCGGGGCACAGACAGGTCCACCAGCGCCGCCGCCTACCGAAGTTTCATCGTTTCCCCGGTCAAACGCTCTCGAAAATCGTCATGGCCAGAGGACGCTGGTCGCCGCCCGAGCGCCGGGTCCCACTTGTCGCGCCAGAAGTCGCGCACGTGGAATCGCCACAGGTTCTCGTCGGCCGCGGCGTCGCGGAGGGTTCGCGACGCGCGGCCGCAGGCGGCGAGCGACGCCGCGGGCACGAGCGACAGGACGTGCGTCGCGAGCTCCGGCGGCAGGCGCGCCCACGGCGCGAAGGTGCGCGTGTCGACCGGCGGCTCCGGCTCCACCTCTATTTCTTCTGGCGGCGCGTCGTCCGCTGCTGCTGGCGCCGCGCGCCGGAGCAGGCGGCTCATGCGTCTCCACATGGGCGACCACAGCGCGCGCGGCGGCTCGCGGACCAATTCCTGCGGCTGGTCCGGCGCCTCACCCTCGTCGAAGCCGTCCATATCACCTCCGAAGCGAAACTTCACTTTGAATGCAACATGTACTTGAGAGGCCGCCGCAGCGCCGTAAGCAGCGCCTGCGGTGCGCGTGTTTCCGTGTGCACTCGGCGAGTCCGAGTACGGCGACGCGACGTTAGCACCCCCCTCCCCCTAGGCGATCTCGCCGAGGTAGACGGTCTTGTCGGAGGATGCCGAGCCGAGGATGGGCTCCTTCGGGTGGAAGTCGACCTCGTTGACGGAGCCCTTGTGGCCCGGGAGGTAGTAGAGCTCCTCGGCCGTGGCGACGTCCCAGACGTGGACGACCTGGTCGCTGGAGCCGCACGCGACCTTCTCGCCGTCGCTGGACCAGCTGCAGCGCAGGAGGTTCTTGTGGAAGTCGTGCTGGTGGCCCACGAAGGTCGTCAGCAGCCGGTCCTCGCCCGCGGCGGGCTGGACGTCCCAGCAGTGGAGCTTCGCGTCCATCGCGTTGCTCAACAGCTTCGTGCCGTCCGGCGACAGCGACAGGCCCGTGATCGTGTCCGCGTGGCCCCGCAGCTCGTAGACGACGTCGTCCATGCGCAGGTCCCAGCACTTGACCGACTCCTCGAGGCCGCCGGCGAAGACGCGGGACGCGTCCTCGTCGAAGCAGACCGCCGTGACCGCGTAGTCTCCGGCGAGCGTCTTGACGGACCGGCGCTCGCGCGCGTCCCAGAGCACGCAGCAGCCGTCGTCGCCGCCGCTCACGAGCGTGTCCTCGGACCGCGCGGCCCGCACGGCGTTGACGACGCCGCCGTGGCCCGCGTACTTTTTTTTCCGCTTGCCCGCGTGGCAGTCCCAGAGCGCGACGGACTCGTCCGCGGACGCGCTCGCGAGCGTGCGGCCGTCGCGGAGCCAGGAGAGCTCTAAAACCGCGTTCTTGTGGCCCCGGAGCACGTTGTAGTTCGCGCAGTCCCCGTAGACCTCCCAGAGGTAGATCGCGCGCTCCGCGCCGCCCGACGCCGCGAACTCGCCGGTGGGGCCGAAGCTGAACGCGTAGACCGCCGCCTCCTGGCCCGTGAGCAGCATGATCGGCGCCTGGAGCCCGGACGTCCGCGGCTCCTCCTCGTCGTCGTCGTCGTCGTAGAGGCTCAGCTGCGCGTTGCCCGCCGTGACGGACGTCGCCGGGATGATGAGCTCCGTGCGCGGCCGCTTCGCGACGTGTTCGACCAAGTCCGTGGACGACATGGTGGGAGTCGTGGGTCCTTCGGGCGGGCGGCGGGCGGCGATGCGCGCGGCCTTGGAGTCCGGCGAGGCGGCGCGGCTCGGTGGTGCTCCTCGGCGAGCCGCGCGGCTGTGGCGGTGCCTATCCAGGGGGGTCGTGGGGTACAATTTTACCTTGGCCGCCGAGCCAGGTGGCGGCCGGAGGCCGCCCCCTAACCGTCGCGGCGGAGGTCGGTCGTGAGGGTGGCGAGGGCGGCGCGGTCCGCGAGGCGGCGCGCGTCGTCTTCGAGTCGGTGGGAGAGGGCGCGGGCCTTGGACTTCCAGGTGCCGTCGGCGAACTTGAGGCCGGACTCCGAGATCAGGTAGCGCGCGCGGTACTTCGCGGCGGTGGTGCCCCACTCGCGGTGGAGCTCGTTGCTGAGCAGGGCTTTTGCCTGGTCGGGGCACGCGCAGCCCATGGGGATCCAGCTAGGGACGGGTGATGCTCAGGTGTGATGCCCAGGTGTGTTGGTGTGATGCCCAGTGTGACCCTCGGTCCGCGTGTTTTCGGGCCCCGGGTGTGATGCTCGGTGTTTTGGCCTGGGCCGAGCGGCGAAATTAAAGTGCAACCCGGAGTCAAACAAACGCGCAGGCTTGTTTCTGGCCACCCGATCGGACGTTGCTATTACTGCACCGATTTCCGATGCTATGGCCCGGCCCAGAGGCTGCGCCGGACGGCGTGCCGGCTTCCGGTCGCGCTCGTCGCGGCCCTGGCGTGGCGCCCGCGGCGTGCGGTGCGCGCTGGGCAGCCCTCGTCGGGCCGTGGGCGGCGGCGGCGGCGCGGGTCGGGCTGCCACGCGGTAGGCGTCTGGTCGAGGACTGGCGCCACTGCGGCGACGCGCGGTTGTTCCGACACGTTCTCCGGCGTCTATGCCGGCGGGGTTCTCGCGCGCAGGGGCGCGGGGCGGCCCAATGGCGATGACTTCTTTTTTTGAGAGTTTTAACGAATGCTCGCACCTGCTCATCGCGGTCGTCGCGCCGAGGTCCGATTTGAAGAACGATCGCCGCAGCTGCGACGCCTCGCGCGCCGCGTGCGGGGTGGCGTCCCCTGGCGGAAGGACTACCAGGTCGTCGCCACCGTCATCGTGACCGCCGCGCCGCGCGCCTCCCTGCCGCGGCAGTTGGAAATCCACTGGGACGTCGCCTACCGATGATGTAGTAGCCATCTAGTACAGACTACCTCGGGCGAGTGTGATGCCCAGTTCTGGTGTGATGCCCAGGTGTGAGTGTGATGCTCAGGTGTGTGATGCCCAGTGTGGTGATGCCCACGCTTCACTAGAAGTGAGACCGAGTCGGCGTGTCTCCTGGTGGTTCGAGGCAGAAATCAGCGGTGGCCGTGGTGCAATCGTCACTCGCGTTCACGCTACTTCGACCCCCACAAGTCTTGGTTCCCGAATGGTGATGCCCTGGACGCCTGAGATAAGCGGCTAGATCTGTACGGATCTTGAGCCGATTGCCCTTCGCCACGTGGAACGACCCCATGTACCGCCATGGCCTCAAGGATGTCGAGACGGGGCGCACCTTACCAACGGTGGTGTAAGGTACGATGACGTTCATCGAAGGCGCCATTTGCACGTGGTCAGACAGGGGCTCGTATGAAAATATTGTGAGGTGGTTTTGCAAGCAGACCTTATACTTCAATGGGCTCATAGCACGACGTGGGCCTGTGGTTCCACATACGAACGTTACAAACATGACCAGATGTCGGGATGGTGCGTTTGAGCGACATTCATCTTCCAAATTATCCCAGTAATTCTGCAATGTACGCCCATCAATTTTCGTTACCATGGGCCAACAGTTCATGCAACATTCGTCGACCTCGCACGCATCATTCTTATGCCTCCAGCGTTCGCATTTGTTGTCCTTCCACATGCACGAATTTGTTGTCCTTCCACATGCACGAGCCAGCACAATGTCGATACTTGGCGACCATACAACGCGAGCCTTGTCGAAATGGCGAGGATACTAGACGCCACGAGGTGGGCATGCGAGACTGTTGGGCGAAAGCGTACTCCTCAAGACCATACTGGTTGAATAATAGGTTTCGGTTAATTGAGCCCACGGGTAAACGCTCGGGCTTTGCGATGACGCCATGTTTGGTGTTTTGCGTACTACCGTGCTGAGTCCTCGAAGAATCTTTGCCCACAACGCGATGGTTTTTGAGCATTGCGCTGATTCGGTTTTGCGGAGTAGTTTTGACCGTCTTGCTCTTTGTAGTTTTGATCGTCTTGCCCTCGCCCGGCTGGAGCGCGCGGCGCCGCGCGGCCGGTTGGAGGAGGTCCTCAAAGACCGGGTCGCCCTTCCCGGCGTCGAACTTCTCGATCGGTGACTTGGCCGTAACGGACTCCGTGGCCGCGGCGACGATCAGGGGGAAGACGAGGAGCGCAGGGGAGATCTTCATGGTTGAACTCGCGATGCCTGCGGGCGGCTGCGGGGTCGGGAACGCGTTCCGCGGCGACGATCGACGGACGCGCGCGTGTGTCGGCGATGGTCTCCGCGCCAGGCGAGGCGTGCGCAACGCGCCGCGGCGCGCGGCGACGCCGGGGTCTCTCTCTCGCGCGCGCGACCTCGTCGTCGAGCGGAAAGACCGGTCGGGCGTCGGACGGCGTCGGACCGGCTGCGCGGCACGCGCCGCCGGCCGCCCAGGCCGGCGGTGGCCGGGGTCTGCCCGTCCCCCCGACGGGGGGCGCGGGCGGGCTACGGCGCGCCGCGAGGCCATACGAGCGCACGGCGGAGCCGTTTGATTCGCTCGTCGCCCGGGCGCCAGGTCGAACCGTCGAGCGAGGGAGAAGGTGTTGGTCACCATGTCGGGACGCGGGGCGGCACTATAAGGATGAAGCGGGCGGGGCGGCTCGCGTCTTCGAGGCGCACGGCAAATTTACCCGCTTGAGGAAAACCCCTCGCCGCTGCCTCCGCGCGAGCTGTGGCTCTCTCTCTCTAGCGCATTAGGCGACGCACCCCGAGGCCTACCCCGCCTACGCGCCTGCCTTGGCTCTCTGCTGGCACCAGGGGTGGCGAGGAGTGGCGAGGCCCGCTCATGGGCCGCCTCGCATGAGGCGTGCGTGCTGGACGCCGCGACCTGCGCCGCGGGCGGCTTCGCGCGGGAGACGCGGGACGCGTGGCGCGCCATCGCGGACGCGACGCGCGCGCCCTTCCTCGACCGCATGAACGGCGCGCTCGCGGCCGACGCGGACGGCAGCGATCGCTTCGTAGATCTAGGTACCTCTCCCGAGAGCTCGGCGCCACCCGACCTCCTGCAGGCCTTCCCGCAGCCTAAGGTCCCGCGCGGCCGGCGGCGACGACGACCGGGCGAGCCCGGCGCGGTCCCCGCTCATGGGCCCCGGTCCGCGACGGACCCGCGCCACGTGGCTCGCGCGGGCCCGCTTAAAGTTCTTCGATGTAGGGCAGGAGCGCGTCGTAGGTCGCGTCGAAGACGCGCGCCGCGTCGGCCTTGAAGCCGTCGGGGAGCGGCGGCGCGCGGCCGCAGAGGTCCGGCGACGGCGCCTGGCAGCCCGCCCCGGGCGAGAGCGCGCCCGCGGCGAGCGAGAAGCGCGCGCCGGAGACGCGCGTCAGGTCCGCGCGGACGTCGCGAGGTGCGCGACCCCCCGGCGCTGCAGGCGAGCGGCAAAGCCCGCGGCGCACCACCACAGCGGCGGTTCGCGCGCTCGAGCTCGCGCGCGACCACCAGCTCGAACGCGACCGACGCGCGCACAAACATGGCCGCCGTCGTCGCGTCGCAGCCCTTCGAGGTCGGGCAGCGCGTCAAGGACGGCGTCGAGTTCCGCGGCACGGTGCGCTACGTGGGCCCCGTGGTCACGTCGAAGAAGGATCCCGGTGCGATCTGGGTCGGCGTCGAGTGGGACGACGGCACGCGCGGGAAGCACGACGGCTCCGTCGTCGACGACGCGACGGGCGAGCGCGTGCGCTACTTCCGCTGCGGCGCGACGGCGGGGTCGTTCGTCAAGCCGTCGAAGGTCGACGGCGGCGGCGGCCTCGTCGCGGCGCTCCGGGCCAAGTACGTCGGCATGGACGCGCCCGTCGAGGCGCCCGGGGGCCACTTCGAGCACAAGGCCTACACGAAGCGGGGCAACACGAAGGCCATCGAGTTCTGCGGCGAACTGAAGGTGCGCGCGGAGCAGCAGCTCGACGAGGGCCGGGTCGACGCGGCCATGCTCCGCTGCCGCGGCGTCCGGGGCCTGGGCGACGTCGGTCCGGGCGACTTTGCGCAGCTCGCGACGCTCGTCGCGCTGGACCTGCAGTGCAACCTGCTGCGGCGCTGGGCGGACGTCGCGGAGATCGTCGACGCGTGCCCGTCGCTGAGGATGTTGGACGTGTCGGGCAACGCGCTGGGCTGGGACGGCGCGGGCGACCTGGGCGCGCTGGCCAAGCTCGAGAGCCTCGCGGCGAACGGCGTCGGCCTCCGGGGCTGGGCCGACGTCGCGCGCCTGGGCGAGGCGTGCGGCGGCCTCCGGGTGCTCCACGTCGCGAACAACGACGTCTGCGCGGACGGCGTCGGCGCCGCGCCCTTCCCGCGGCTGGAGCTCCTGGATTTGGCCGCGACGGGGCTCGCGGACGCGGCGCCGCTGGCCGCGCTGCCGAGGCTCGCGGAGCTGCACGCGTCCGAGAACCCGGAGCTCGCGGGCCTCGGAACGTCCGTCTTCGCGGGCCTCGAGGCTTTGGCGTTGTCGGGCTGCGGCGTCGAGCGCTGGGCCGACGTCGACGCGCTCGTGGCGTCGTGCCCGAAGCTCGGCAAGCTGCGCTTCGGCCGCGACAACGCCGTCACGGCGTCCCTCGGCGCGTCCGAGGCGCGCGCGCTCCTCGTCGCGCGCCTGCCGACGGTGCGCCACCTCAACGGCGCCGACGTGAGCCGCAAGGAGCGCGTCGAGGCGGAGAAGCGCTACGTGCGCATCGCGACGGCCCAGGTCGCCGGCGGCGCGCCGGCGTCCGACCACCCGCGGCTCGCGGCGCTCGTCGCGAAGCACGGCGACCCGAACGACGCGCCCAAGGACGCGGCCGCGGGCGCCGGCGGCCTCGCGGCGAACCTCGTGCAGGTCACGCTCCGCTGCGTCGCCGCCGAGGCCTGCCACCTCGAGCCCGTCACGAAAAAGCTCCCGGGGTCCGCGAAGGTCGCGCTCGTGAAGCGCCTCGCGAAGAAGCTCTTCAAGCTCGGCGACGCGGACGTCGTCCTCTACTTCAAGCCCGAGGCCGACGCCTGGCCCGTGACCCTCGACGACGACGCCATGACCCTGGCCTACTTCGGCGTGCCCGACGGCGCGACGATCGACGTCGCGGACAAGCTCGACGAGGGCAAGGAGAACGCGGGCGACCAGTAGGGGGGCGGTTTTAAGGGAGCCGGACGATCCCGGCCGCCCCGGGCCGCGCGACGACCTCGACCGTCCGCCGGCCGGCGTCGCGGTCCGCCAGCGCGGCGACGCACGCGTCCGCGAGCTGGCCCCGCGTGACGCCGCAGGCGGCGCCGGAGGACGCGAAGAACGGCGACTTGCAGGACACGCGGCTCAGGCCCCGGGCGTCGTCGGCCTCGCCGAGGAACCGGTCCTCGCCGGCGAAGACCAGACCGCCCTGCGCGTCGTCGACGAAGACGCCGGGGCGGAGGATCACGAAGTCGAGGGCGGACGCTCGAAGCCGATCTTCGGCGGCGCGCTTCGCCTCCACGACGTTGCCGAGCTTGTTGAGCATGCGGTAGCTGAGGTTCGCGCGCCGCGCCGCTTCCGCGCCGGTCAGCAGCGACGACACGAGCACGAAGCGGCCCGGGAGCCTTGCTTTTTCTGCCGCATCGACGAGCGCGACGACGCCGTCGCGGTCGACGGCCAAGGCGGCGCGCCGGTCCGCGTCGGCGTCAAAGGTCGGCACGAAGCCCACGTCGCAGACGACGTCGTCGACGTTTCGGAGCGCCGGCGCGAGCGACGCGGCGTCGGTGAGGTCCGCTTCGACGACTCTGAACGACGCCGCGCCGGCGACGTCGCGCCAGCGGCTCGCGTTGCGCACGAGGGGCACGACCTCGTAGCCCGCGGCGGCCAAAGATCTCACGACCTCGCGACCGCTGCGACCCGACGCGCCGGCGACGAGCACGCGGCGCGGCGGCGCGGCCGCGGCGCGAGTGCCTAGTGCCGCGCTCACCGCCGCGCAGCCCGCCGCGAGCGCCTTCCTGCGCTCGACGCGCAACGCTGATGGCTCGATGCGCAATGTTGTATCGATGCGCAATGCAAATAGGGCCGAGCATTGCAGCGCAAAAATGAGATGGCGCATGCTTGCTTTTACTCTGCTTCAGATCAACTTGACGTACAAGAAAGCTCGTTGCCGCGCTTTCTCAATCACGATGCTTCTCTCAACACGGAGCCTCCGGAGCCTCCGAGCCCCTGTCCGGCGCCTGCTCTCGAGCGCAGCCGCCCTGGACTCGGAAGGCGCGACGACGAACATGTACAACCCGACGGAAGAGCACGGGGCCCTGCGCCAGATGGTGCGCCAGTTCGCGGAGCAGGAGGTGGACCCGCAGCGCGCCGAGTACAACGAAAAGGAGCACTTCAACCGCGCGCTCTTCGCGCGCTGCGGCGAGCTGGGCCTCCTGGGCGTCACCGCCGACGAGTCCTGCGGCGGGAGCGGCATGGACGCCGTCGCGGCGTGCGTCGTCAGCGAGGAGCTCTCGGCCGCGGACCCGGCCTTCGCGCTGAGCTACCTCGCGCACGCCATGCTCTACGTGAACAACGTGAACGTGAACGCGTCCGAGGCCCAGAAGCGGCGCTGGCTCCCCGGCGCCTGCGACGGGTCCAAGGTCTGCGCGATGGTTACGTCCGGCGTCCCGCGGCCGCGACGACTTTCGAGAGACTTTGGCCGGGAAAAGGACGCCATCATGCACCTTCGAGAGACTTTGGCCGGGAAAAGGACAAAAACTCGTGAACGTCGTGCACCGTAGGCCATGTCCGAGCCCGGCGCGGGCACGGACGTGCTCGGCATGCGCACGGCCGCCGTCGACGCGGGGGACCACTACGTGCTCGACGGGTCCAAGATGTGGATCACCAACGGCTGCGTCGACTCCGAGACGCTCGGCGACGGCGCGCTGGTCTACGCGCGGACGGGGCCGGGCAAGGCGGACGTGAGCCTCTTCCACGTGGGGCCGGAGACCCCGGGCTTCTCGCTCGGCCAGCGCATCACGGGCAAGCTCGGCATGCGCGCGTCGCCGACGGCCGAGCTCGTCTTCGAGGGCTGCGTCGTGCCCAAGGAGGATCTCGTCTCCGAGTGGAACGGCGCGGCGCTCTGCATGATGCGCAACCTCGAGCTCGAGCGCGTCATCCTCGCGGCCATGGCCGTGGGCATCGCGAAGCGCTGCGTCGACCGCATGGGCAAGTACGCGGCCGAGCGCGCCGCCTTCGGCCGACCCATCGCCGAGTTCGGCCAGATGCAGCGCCACGTCGCCGAGAGCTACGCGAAGCTCATGGCCGCGCGCGCCTACCTCTACGCTACGGCGGGGAACCTCGACCTCCGCACCGCGGGCAACCGCCTCGACACCGACGGCGTCAAGCTCTTCGCGACCACCAGAGTCGCTAGTTTCGAAATGATGAACACGACATCGTGTCTTGTAGGCGACGACCGTCGCCAAGGAGGTCGCCGACGCCGCGATCCAGGTCCACGGCGGCTACGGCTACGTCGCGGAGTACCAGGTCGAGCAGCTCTGGCGCGACGCGAAGCTCCTCGAAATCGGCGGCGGCACGCTCGAGAGCCACCACAAGAACATGATCCGCGACCTGGCGGACGGGCTGCCCGCGGGCGTCTAGCGTAGGCAACTTACCGCCGCGGGGCGAGGCGCGCGAGGAGCTCCGGCGGCGGCGCGTCGTCGCCCCACGGCGGCGGCGCGTCGTCGCCCCACGGCGGCGGCGCGTCGTCGGCCGGCGCGTCGGCGAAGAAGGCGGCCTCGTCGGCCTTGCGCGTCCGCTCGAAGAGCTGGAGCGCGGCGCGCTCCGCGGCGTCGAGGTCCGGATGAAAAAAATCGAAGTACAGAATCACCCGCGCCTCGTCGGAGTCGTTGACCGCCGCGTGCGTGAACGACGTCTGGAGCAAGGGCGCGAGCGCGCCGGCTTCCCAGGCCACGGGCGGCGCGCCGCCCATGAAGAAGAGGGAGCAGCCGCCGGGCACGATCAATCCCAGGTGCGCCGTCAGCAGGTAGTTGCACAAATCGCTGTGCGGCGCGACGTTCGACCGCGGGCCTTGCCGCGCGAAGAACGCGAGGCGCGTGCCCCCGATGTGCATGGCGCCGTCGAAGCCCTCGCCCTCGGCGCTGAGCACCGTCGCCAGCGCCGCGACGGTCCCGGGAAAAGCTTCCGCGGCGCCCGCCGCGAGCGCGCCGCCGGCCGCGAGGGGCACGCCGTCGTACTGCTCGCCGTAGTCGCCGCCAAAAAAAGGCTCGTGGCCGCCGCGCAATGCGGCCGCCTCGTACTCGGCCCGGATCGCCGGCGCCGCCGCCTCGAGGCCGCCGGCCCACGCCGGCCGCTCGTCGCGCCGCGCGGCCTCGCCGAGGCCCGGGTAGTCGCCGCGCGCGCGCAGCGTCTGCCCGCGGGCCTCGTAGAGCTCGTCGTCGTCGGCGCCGACCCACCGCTCCACGAAGGTGCGAAAGCGGGCCGGCGTCGTCGCCGCGGTCTGCCGGAGCACGGCCTCCGCCGTCTGTTGCTTCTGCAGCTGCCAGTTGCGGCTCGCGAGGCTCGAGAAGCGAGTTCTACGGCTCGCGAGACATTTGTGCGTGTTCTGGAGCCGCCGCTCGCAGCGTGCGAGGCGCGACAAGCTCGAGCTCATCGTGCGACACTTGCACCGCCAGTGGCAAAAAAACGACAGTGCCCCATCGTCGACCTTCGACGCAAGCAAAAAAGCTCCGCCACGCTGCGCCGGCCCGCGCCGCCCGCGCCCCCCGCCTCCGGACCATGAAGGCGAACCTCACGCTCGTCACCCCCGAGCGGCAGGCCGAGATCAAGGAGGCGTGGAACCTGATCGCGGAGAAGAAGCCGAGCCTGCGAAAAAAGGAAGTGTTCAAGGTCATGCGCGCCCTGGGCATGGCGCCGACGGAGCACGAGTGGAAGGAGATGTGGACGAAGATGGAGCCCGTCCACGGCAAGGTCGAGTTCCACGGCTTCTCGCACGCGCGCGCGCCGCGTCCGGGGATCGGCGCGCCGGCGGTCGGGGGACGCGCGCGCCCGCCGCAGGTCATGGAGGAGCAGCTCGAGGCGGCCTTCAACATGGAGAAGATCCAGGAGGCCTTCGAGCTCTTCGACAGCGAGCGGAAGCAGTACTTCGACGCGAACGACCTCGACCGCGTCATGCGGAGCCTCAACGAGCACCTGACCATGGACCAGATCAAGGACATGATCCTCGAGGTCGACTGCCAGGGCGACTACAGGATCAACCGCGACGAGTTCCTCGACATGATGGCGACATAGCGGCCGCTCTGTAAATACGTGAAGTGTGCGCGTCGGCGGCGGACGCGGGGATTCGACACCCCCGGCCAAAGCACGAAAAAGGCCTCGAACAACGACAGCCCCAAGCCGAGCCTGCCGCTTCACCTTCGGCGAGCGTCCGGTGCTGTGGCTTCGCGCCGCGGCCGGCTCAGTGGCGAGGCGAAGCGAGCCAACATCAGCTTGGGTCTGGAAAACGATGATGTTGATGCACCTCGGTTTGAACAAACTTGAAAAAAGCGACGGAGTATGAACACGAAAGCGGCGCGCGGCAAGGCGCCGGCGCAGCCCCCGGGGCTCGCGAGCCCCGCGGCGCGCGACGAGGCCTGGGCGGCGGGCTCGCAGCCGCAGAGCAACCTCTACGAGCGGCTGCCCCGGGCGGCCGTGGCGTCGACGTTCGTCTGCGTGGTGCTCTTCGCGTCGACGAACCCCCGCGGGGGCCCCTGGGGCTTCGGCACGCTGCCCTGGCTCGGGGCGCCCCGCGGCGGTCGGCCCGACGCGCGGGGCCCGCGCTTCGTGCCGCCGAGCCAGCGGAAGCGCGCCGAGGTCGAGCTCCGGCGGCGCCTCGAGGCCGGCGGCGCGGGCCCGGCCGCGCCGGCCGCGCCGGCGCCCGCCGGGGAGCGCGGGGCCTGGATCGACGCCTCGGGCCCGCGCCTCGGCGACGGCGACGGCGGCGCCGCGCCGCGGTCGCCGGAGGCCGCCGCGGAGGCCGCGGGCGAGTACGTCGGCTGCTTCAGCAGCGAGACGTGGTTCACGGGGCGGCGCTACCTCGGCGGGTCGCGGGGCGCCTACTACCGCCTCGCCGCCGCCGACGCCCTCCGGGGCCGCAAGCCCTACTTCGCCTGCGCGCGCCACGGCGGCGACGGCCACGGCTTCGTCTTCGACGCGCTCGCGGAGGACGCGCGGCTCGCGTTCCCCGAGGGCGACCTCGTCGCCGGCGGCTGCGAGCACGCCTGCGCCGACGACGCGTCCAAGCTCTGCGGCTGCACGGACGACGGCTGCACGGGCGCGCAGACCGCGGGCCAGGAGCACCACCGCCGCTGGGCCGTCTACCGGCTCCCCGAGGCCGCGGCGGCGCCGCCGCCGCCGCCGGAGCCGCGCGCGGCCGACGGCGGCGGCGACGGCGACGCCTGGACCCTGCGCCGCGAGCGCGCCGCGGAGGCGCGGCTCTTCGAGGCCGCGGCGGCGACGGCCTTCGGCCACCTCGGCTTCCCGGACCCGCAATAAGAATCAAAAGGCGAGCGGAGGTCTGTAGGGAGCGCGCCGGGGCGGGAGCGGCGGCCGGGAGGGAAGGGGGGGGGCGCCGGGGCCTACGCCTCGGTCTCGCTGCTGCTCGTCGTCGTCGCGGCGACGGTGAGGTCGTCCGTCTTCGTCGGGTCGTCGTCGCCCGGCTCCAGGTGCGACACGGGCGCCGACTTCGTGATGCACTTGCCCTCGCTGCAGAGGTGGAAGAGCACGTTCGACGTGTTGTAGCAGCCGTAGGTCATCATCGTCGACGTGCCCGCGTCCGTGAGGTAGCCGTCGAGCTGGATCGCGTCGCCCGTGGGCTCGACGGCGTAGACGTCGAGGGCGCCGAAGCCGACGCGGCTGCAGTGCCACTTGTTGCCCGCCGTCGTGAGGAGGTCCGTGTACGTGTCCACGGGCACCTCGTACTGCGTGAGGTCGAAGTGGTTGTCGTAGTACTGGTCGAAGCCGCACGACGGCGACGTGTACGAGGCCTCGTGGGCCTCGTTCTTCGCGTTCTCGAGGTCCTTGACGCCGAAGGTCGACGCGTAGCTCGACGTGTCCGTGCGCTGGATGAAGCGGATGGGCATCGCGGCCTCCGGGAGCCGGAACGTCTTCATCGTGAGCCCCTCGGTCTCGTCGCTGTAGAGGTAGTCGAAGTCGGCCTGGAGGATCTGCGTGTAGTACGTCGAGATGGTCTCGATGTCCGACGTCCCCTTGGAGATGGCCACGGGGATGAGGTAGTCCTCGCCCGGCGGGCTCGCGCCCGCGGACGAGATCGTGCTGTGCGGGAGGCGGACCATGTCGTCCTCGAAGATGGGGCGCTGGGCCTTGGCCTCCGGCGCGACGGCGGACACGATCTCGAAGTTGATCTGCGAGTCCGGAATGTGGACGATGAGCGAGAAGAAGGTCCGGCCCGTCGTGCCGCCGTCCGTCGTGTGGACGTCGCTGTTGTCCTTCCAGCGGAGCAGCATGTAGGCGACGCCGTCGCGCTCGAAGTCGTTGATGTAGGAGTCGAGCGAGTTCGCGACGAATACCGTCGCGAAGTCCATGAAGGCGTCGTACTCGCCCATGGTCCCGAGGCGCGCGTTGAAGTGCGCCTCGACCGTCGCGACGTCCGTGTCGCCCGCGGGCCGCTTCGCCGCGTTCACCATGTGGATGCCGAAGCACGGCGTCGCCTCGCCCTCGTTCGTCCCGTTGAGGGCCAGGCGCACGTAGCTGCCGCAGCCGCCCATGCTGTGCTCGCAGAGCGAGTAGTCCGTGAAGCCGCCGTCGGACTCGCACTCGACGGGGAAGTAGCTGCGGAGCCACTTGCCCGTCGTCGCGGGCTCGGAGACGGAGAACGTCTGCTTCGAGATGGTCAAGTTGCAGTACGCCGATTTCAGCGACCCGAGCTCCGTCGCCGTCGCCTCGACGGGCCGGCGCGTGAACGCGGCCGCGACGCCGCCCGCGAGCAGCCCCAGTCCGACGAGGCCCGCGGCGAGTTTCCGCGACGGCCGGTTCGTCACGACGATCGGTTCCTGTTCGACCTTGGCCGGGGCCGACGAGGCGAGGAGCGTCTCCTCCTCCATGGTCGCGCGCGGGCAGCAGCCGACGACGACGATGGGCAGCCCAAGTGCGCCCCTGAATCCACGAGCGCCAGTGCAGCTTTGTCCTACGAATCATTTTGCGATTGTTGAGGCAATTCCTCGAGGCCCCTGGGAGGCGATATGGCATCGCGCCGCCTCCCAGGCTAGCACCATGTGCGGCATCGCCGCGTTGGTCTACGGCGACGACGCCGCCGCGCCGGCGGATGCGACGCGCGCCGTCCTCGAGTTCGCCACGCGCTGCGGCCTCGAGCGCCGCGGGCCCGACGGCCTCGACGCCGCCGTGCCGGCGCCGCGCGTGGCGCTCGCGGCGTCGGTGCTGCGCATGCGCCGCACGGACGACTGGCGCCAGCCCGTCGTCGACGGCCGCGGCAACGCGCTCGCGTGGAACGGCGAGTGGTTCGACGGCGACGGCGCGCCGCCGGCCGGCGCGGGCGACACCGCGGCGGTCGCAAAAATGCTCGGCGCGGCCGTCGCGGGCCTCGCGGACGCGGCGGACGCGGCGGCGGCCATGGCGGCGGTCCTCGCGGGCCGCGTCCGCGGGCCCTACGCGGTCGCGTTCTACGCCGCGGACGCCGGCGCGCTGCTGTTCTGCCGGGACCCGCTGGGCCGCCGGTCGCTCGCGTTCGGCCCCGCCGAGCGCGCCTTCGGCGTCGCGTCCGCCGTGCCGCGCGGCGCCGCGGGCTGGGCCGAGGTGCCGACGGACGGCGTGCGGTCGCGGCGGGGTTTGGAGGCGCCGTGGCCGCGCGCGGGCTTCTACGACGCCGTCGCGTGGCCTCCCGCGAACATCGCGTTCGACCCGCCGCCGCGCGCGGCCGCCGCGGCGCGGCTCCGGGCCGCGCTCTCCGGCGCCGTGGCGCGGCGCGTCGCCGGCCACGACGACGTCGCCGTGCTCTTCAGCGGCGGCCTGGATTCGGCGGTGCTCGCGCGGCTCCAGGGCAGCACAAGAGAGCGAAATTCCCAACTTCAAAGGCTCCGATCTCGGCCATTTTCCACTCGTTTCGGCTGATTTTTGGACGAGCGATCATCTCTCGGAACGCTCTCGAAGCGTGGATGTGTTTTTTGTAACGCGCGCGCGCGGAACACTCACGTTGAAGCGACGTTGAATCACTCTTGTCCTGCCCAGGCGCGGCTCGCGCACGACCACGTCGACGCGCGCGCGCGCATCGACCTCGTCAACGTCGCCTTCGGCGAGACGGGCCGCGCCGAGGCCGACGCGGCGCCGGACCGCGCCGCGGGCCGCGCGACGGCGCGCGAGCTGCGCGCGGCCTGCCCCGGCCGCGAGTTCCGGCTCGTCGAGGTTTCCGTGTCGGCGGCGGATCTCGCGCGCGACGCGCGGACGATCGCGGCGCTCGCGGCGCCCTGCGGCGACCACATGTCCTTCAACCTCGCCGCGGCGCTCTTCTTCGGCGCCGCGGGCGCCGGCGTGCGGCGCGACGAGGACGCCGGCGGCGACGGCGGCGGCGGCGGCGGCCTCCGCTACGGCGCGCGGCCGCCGCCGCCGGCCGCGCCGGCGCCGCCCGCCGCCGCGCGGCCGTGCGCCGCGCCGGGCTGCGCCTACGAGGCCCACGCGCGCTGCGCCGCGGCCCAGTGCGGCGTCTGCTGCCGCCGCCGGTGCCGGGCCGACGGCGCGGCGTGCCGCGCGCACCCGCCGCGGAGGACCCGGGAGGAGAGGGCCGCGGCGGCCCGGCCCCCGGCGCCGCCGCCGCGCGCGCCGTCGCCGCCCCGGGGCCCGGCGGCGACGTCGCGCGCGCGGTGCCTCCTGCTCGGCATGGGCGCGGACGAGCTCCTCGCGGGCTACGCGCGGCACCGGACGGCCTACGCGCGCGGCGGCGCGCCGGCGCTCGCCGCGGAGCTCGACGGCGACCTCGTGCGCCTCGCGTCGCGGAACCTGGGCCGCGACGACCGCGTCGTGTCGCACCACGGCCGCGAGGCGCGGTTCCCGTACCTCGACGAGGCCGTGCTCGCCGTCGTCCGCGGGGAGCTCGGGCCCGCCGTCGCGGACCTCGACGAGCCGCCGGGCGTCGGCGCGAAGCGGGTGCTGCGGGACGTCGCGGCGGACCTCGGGCTGCCGCGCGTCGCGACGCTCGTGAAGCGCGCGTTGCAGTTCGGCACGCGCATCGCGCCCTTCTCCAACCGGCTCTGCTTCGGCTCGAACCGGAAGGGCGACGGCACGGCGGCCTTCGACGTCGATCTGCTGCTGGCGCGCATCGAGGGTGTAGGTGTCAGCTAGGGGTCGCGTAGGCGGGCGCGGCGGCGGGGCGCGTGGTGCTCGGGCCACGCGATCGTCATCGAGGAGTCGGGCAGCTTAAAAATTGATCGTCCCCCCCTCGTTGAACACGTGAAGTGCAATTCTCGGCCTCGCCATTCGCGATCACCTCCCGGCACACGGAGGTCTCGAGGAAGAGCGGCGAGGACAGCAAGCCAACGCTGTGGCAACAGCATCGCGATCAAGGACTACTTGGAGATCGTGTACATCTGCATGGACATGGACGGCCCCTGGACCGACGACGAGCTCTGCAAGATCGAGGACCACTGGACGACCCAACCCAAACTCTCCCTCGGCCGCCTCGTAGCGAGGCGCCAGGCCGGCTCCGGCTGAGCCTGAGGTCGAGCTCGAGTCCCCAAACCTCCGACTCCCGCGGTTCCTCCCGGGCCCCCTACGTTTAGAGACGCGTCAAGGCAACAGCATCGGCGAGCGGAGCGCTCCAGCTTGTGGTCCCGGCGTCCCGGGGCCGTGCTGCTCGCACAGTCGTGAGCTCATGAGTATTAGACGACCGCGAGCCGCGCCTACGGAGATTCATTGACGCAAGCACGCGCCCGCGTCTCGAAATTTCTCGCCCGCTCCCCCGCGCCTCCCCCCTCCGCGCTCATCTTGCTCCCGCCTCCCGTCGGTCTCGACTTCAAACTACGTCGCCCTGCCTCCTCGCGATTTATTCAAAACCTCCCAGGTTCACACGCGATGCTACTCCACATGCTCACCGCTGTCGCCCTCCTCTCCGCCGCCCACCAGGTCCAGGGCATCAAGGTCACGGCCTCGGCGTCGAACCTTGGCGCGCCGGCGTCGGACGCCGAGGCCGCGGCCTCGCTCAAGGACCTCCTCCGCTCGTCGACACAGGACATCCTCGCGTCGCGCCGTCTCTCAGACCACGACGGCCAAGACCACGGCGACCAGACGAGGTCCGGCGGCGGTGACACCAGCGGCGGCAGCAGCACCAGGAGTTTTCAGACGTTTCCGCGTAACATATGGATCTTCTGGAAGCAAGGTTTGATTGAGAATGAGGCCGCGGTACGCTGTATTCAAAGTTGGAGAACACGCAATCCAAATTGGAATCAGATACGACGCTACCGACTTTTATTGCAGGAAAGGACGCCACCTTGATCCAATCAATTAAAAGCAAGCAATCATCGTCCGATCTGGCACGAGTAGCGTTGTTGGAGAGACTTGGGGGAGCGTACGCCGACGTGGACGTATACAACGTTCTCTCGCTGGACGACTGGCTTCCACAGTACGTCGAACCGACCGGTACATTACTCATTTTCACCAATGTAAAAGATCCACATTACATGAATGTACTTTTGGAATCTATTCGAAAAATCCGCCCTGTGAATTCCACCGCAGATTCTACCAATCCATGTAGATCCGATCATTCAACGAATCATGCACCAAGCGCAGCGTGACTTACGATACCGTCAGACGACTACTACAACTTCGATGTTGGACAACAAATTCAGAAAAAAGGTCTCCTACGACTAGAGTTGAGAAGGTCGTCAAGATGCGGTATCACCTTTCACCATCAGACTCGAATCTCAACACTTTCACACTGCGCTGGTCGTGAAGAAGTGGCCCCCGCCGCCGCCGAAGCCGCCGCCGCCCGGACGCGCCGCCCGCCTAGCCGGGCGCAACTCAATAAAGAGACCAAGCCTCTTCAACCTTGGGCACGGCGACGAAGTTTCATGGTGGTAACACATGGCCGCGGCGACCTATCTCGGCTCTCGTCCCTGAACACGGGGCTGGAGGCGCTCGGAAGGTTAGCCCGCGGGGTCCGCGTAGGCGGCGAGCGCGGCGGCGGCGGCGTCGCGGAGCTCGGGCCACGCGTCCCAGCCCCGCGCCCCGGCGCGGCCGTCGTCGAGGAGCCGCGCGGCGAGCGCGAGGCCCGCGCGCGTCGTCGCGAGGTGCGGCGGCGTGCCCGCGAACGCGTGGGCCGCGCGCGCGACCGCGAGGAAGTCGCCGTGGTGGCGCCGCGCGGCGGCGGCGAGGACGACGCACGCGACCTTGAAGGGGCGGCTCTCGACGAGCGGCGCGCCGGCCGCCGCCGCGGGCGCCGCGGCGAGCGCCGCGTACACGCGGCCGTCGCCGCCGGCGTCCATGGCCGCGAGCGCCGCGCCGCTCCGCAGCAGGTCGTCGCCGAGGTCGCCGCCGGCGCCCGGCGCCGCGGCCCAGGCCGCGGCGAGGTCGCGCGCCGCGGCCCAGCGCACGGACGCGTGCGCCGCGCGCAGGCCCGCTTTGAAGCGCGCGGCGCCGGGAGGCAGCGCCGCGTAGAGCCGCGCCTCGCCGACGCGGTCGGGCCGCCCGCCCCGCGGCGGCCCGCGCGTCGCCGCGTCGCCGAGCGTCGCGCCGTCGCCCCGGAGCGCGTGGAGCAGCTGGAGCCAGCAGAGCCCGAGGGGCTCGCCGTCGACGTCGACGTTGACGCCTGTGCCGAAACCAACCACTGGTTTGGGTGGTCCTGACCAAACTTGAGAACTCTCTAGCTCGGTCACATCGACGTCGATTCGGCTGATTTTTGGACGGATCGATGGCTCTCGTCGAGTTCTCGAAGCACAGCAGAAAGCCTTGCGTCGAAACGGTCGCATACGCGCACATTGAAGTCGGGTTGAAGATTTGATTCCCACACAGGTCGACGCCCCGGAGCGCCGCGACGGCCTCCGCGGCCGACGACGCGCCCCGGCGGTCCGCCCGGCGCCGCTCGTCCTCGTCGCCCGGCGGCTCGCGCGCGTGCGCCAGGTCCAGCAGGGACCAGAGCAGGCGCGCCTTCTTCCGCAGGTCTCCCGGCGGGCCGGCGAGCGCGGCCGCGAGCAGGTCCGCGAAGAGCGCCTTGACGCCTGGGCGGGAACCTCGCGATTCAACGTCGCTTCAACGCGGGTGTGCCGCGCGCGCGCGTTCCGAACACATCGTCCACGCGTCGAGAGCGCTTCGAGAGATGATCGCTCGTCCAAGAATCAGCCAAAACGAGCGGAAAACGACCGAGAGAAGAGCCTTTGAAGTCGGGGAACGTCGCGCCCTTTTCCCGCCCCGTTTCACGCCCTCGACCGTCGCGAGGTCGCCGGCGGCCACGTGTCGCGCGCGCTCCGCGCCCCAGCCCCGGGCGACGAGCTCGCTCACGGCGAAGAAGCAGGGGTGGGCCGGGGCCTCCGCGGGCGGAGGCGTCGCGGCGGCGTCGTCGGCGACCGCGGGCGCCGCCGCCGCGCCTCCCGCGCCGCGCGCGCGCGCGAGCCCGTCGAGGACGCCCAGCGCGCGCAGCCGCTCCGCCGACGAGTCCTCGTCGTCGCCGTCGCGGACGAGCTCCCCGCGCCGCGCGAGGGCGCCGGCGAGCGCGCCCGCGAAGCCCGCGGCGCCCTCCGGGTCGCCGTCGGCGCGGTCGCCGAGCGCCGCCGCGGCCGCGAGCGCGGCGTCCGCGGCGTCGCGGCTCAGCGAGCGGTCGCCGTCCTCCCCGTCCCCGAAGAGGGGCCCGAGCACGAGCGCCGCCGCCGCGTTGGCGAAGGCCTCGCGCGTCGCGGCCTCGGCGGCGCCGCGCGCCTCGTCGGAGCCGCCCGCGGCGCCGACGTCCGTGAGCAGCAGGAACGCCTGGAGCACGACGTCGGCGCGCGCCCCGCCGGCGGCGAGCGCGTCCGCCGCCGCGCGCGCGGCGTCGACGAGCGCCGGGTCGCCGCCCGCGGTGACCGCCATCCTCGCCGCGTCGCGCGTCGCCTTCGCCGCGTCGGTCCCGAACCCCGCCGCGAGGCCCAGCGCCTCGAGCGACGACCGGATGGACCGCAGCCGCGGCTCGAGGGGCGCGCCGACGCGGCCCGCGAGCCCCGCGGCGAGGCGCCCGAGGGGCTCGAGGCTCTCGCCCCCAAAGTTCTCGAAGAACGCGGCCGCGAGCGCGTCGACGGCCGCGCGCTCGTCCGTCGTCGCCGCGCGCGCGAAGAGCGGCGCCGCCCGCTCCGCGGCGGCGCGCTCGAGGTCGCCCGCGTCGCCCTCGAGGGCGTGGAAGGCCTCGCGCCGCGCCGCGCAGGCGTAGACCTCCGCGGGGGAGACGGCGCCGGCGAACTTCGCGGCGATCCGCGCGAGGAGCGGCGCCGTGTCCTTCGTCGCGATGGCGCGCAGGCTCGCCAGCGCCGCGTCGCGCCGCTTCTCCTCCTGCGTCGGCCGCCGCGCCCCCCGGGCGCGGTCGTCCTCGGGCGTCGCCGCCTCGTCCTCGCCGTCGTCGACGCGCCGCGGCGCGCCGGCGACGATTCCGCCGCAGAGCGGCTTCGCGTCGACGGACCGCCCGAGCGCCTTCGTCGCGCGCGCGAAGCGCCGCAGCAGCAAGCCGTGCTCCTGGGCGACGCGGCAGAAGGTCGCGTCGGCCTGGCCGCAGTGGGCGACGACGAGGCGGCAGAGCAGGTCGAGCGGCCGCGCGTCCGATTCCTTCCGGTAGCGGCCCTTGAGATACTTCAGGAGCACGGCGCCCGGCGGCGGCGGCAGCCAGGCGCCCCCCGCCTCCGGGCGATCGTCGTCGCCGTCGTCGTCGCTCTCCTTGAGGACGAGCAGCGCCGCGTAGGCCGACGTCGCGGGCGGGTCGCCGCCGGCGGGCGCGCACGCGACCGCGTCCTCCGCGGCGGGCGCCCGCGCGGGCAGCAGCAGGGACGCGAGCGCGTCGACGTTTCCGCCGGCGCGCGGCGCGTCGAAGAAGTGGTCGAGGTGGCGCCGCGCGAGGCTCGCGGGGCTCGCCTTCCGGAGCCGCGCGTCGGACGCGCCTGTGTGGAATTCAAATCTTCAACCCGACTTCAATGTGAGCGTATGCGACAGTTTCGACGCAATTGCTTCGGCTGCGCTTCGAGAACTCGACGAGAGCAATCGATTCGTCCAAAAATCAGCCGAATCGACTTCGATGTGATCGAGCGAGAGAATTCTGAAGTTTGGTCAGGACCACCCAAACCAGTGGTTGAATTCCACACAGCGTCGCGCCGTCGTCGTAGCGCCGGCTCGCGGCGACGGCGGCCTCGAAGGCGGCGCCGTTGCCGCTCGCCGCCGCGCGCACGAGGGCCTCGCTCCGGTAGACGGGCTCGGCCTCGAAGCGCGCGACGTCGACGTCGAGCGCCGGGTCCCGCGCGGGCGCGCGCGGCGGCGGCGGCGGCGGCGGCGGCTGCTCGGGGGCGACGAGCCGCGACAGCGCGCCCTCGAAGGCCGACGCCGGCGCGGGCTCGTCGCCGCCGAAGAGGCGCGCGAGGGCCTCCTTGGGCTGGGGCGGCGCCGCGGGCTCCGGCGCCGCGGGCGCCGCGGCGCCGAGCAGCGCCGCCCGCAGCTTCGACGCGGCGTCGAGCTCGCCGGCCTTGCGCTCGAGGTCCGCGAGCTGGGCCGCGCAGCGCGCCGCGAGGGCCGGGTCGCCCGTCGTCGCGCGCACGCGGCCGTAGTACGCCGCCGCGACGCGTCCCGCGACGGCGCGGCGGTCGCCCGCGTCGTCGGGCGGCGGCGCCGGCGCCGGCGCCGGCGGCGCGGCAAAGTCGGCGTCGCCCGCGTGGCCCACGCACCAGGCCAGGGCCGTGTCGAGGTCCGCGTTCGCCGTCGCGCGGCACGCGCGCCGCGCGCCGTGCTCGACGAAGCCGAGCGCGACGAGCTCCGCGACGAGCGCCTCGTCGGGCGCGACGACGACCGCGGCCGCCGCCGCGGGCGCGAACCTCGTCGCGAGGGCCGTCGCCGCGTCGTCGAACATGGCGCCGCAGCGCCCGACGAACGCCGCGTCCGCGCGCTCGACGACGAGGTACGCGAGCGCCGCGCCGGCCCGCGCGCGCCGCTCGAGCGCGTCGGGCGCGTCCGCCGCGCGAAAGATCTCGTCGCGCGCGCGGTCCGCGGCGTCGCCCGCGGGGCGCGGCGCCCCGAGGAACGCGCCCGCGGCGTCGAACAACGCCATGGCCTTGGCGCCCGCCGGGAGCTGCGCCGCCGCGACGGCCAGGGCCTCGCCCCCGAAGCCCGCGCCCAGCGCCTCCGTCGCCGCGTCCAGGGCGAGGTCGCACACCACGTCGCGGCACCGCACCGCCGCGGCGTCGCCCGCGCCGTCGCCGCGGCAGCCCGCGTCGAGCCGACCGGCCGCGCGCGCGAGCCGCGTCGCGTGCCTCGCCGCGCCGGCGCCGTCGCCGTCGGCCGCGGCGCGGCGGAAGAGCGCGAGCCGCGCGGCCGCGGCGGCGGCGACGGCGCCCGAGCCCGTCGTCGTCTCCGCCGCGAGGCGCGCCGCGCGGACGACCAACGCGTCGCCGCCGACGTCGCCGTCGCCCGCGCCCGCGTCGCCGAAGATCTCCAGGTCCTCGAGAAAGTCCGCGTCCTCGTCGTCGACGAGGGCCGCGAGGAAGCGCCCGGTGTCGTCGTCGCCGAGGTCGGCGACGGACGGCGCCGCGAGGATCTTCGCCGCGACCGCGCCGGCGACGCGCGCCGCGCGCGCCTCCTCGTCGCCCGCGCCGCCGTCGGCCGCCGCGGCGGCGAAGTCCGCGGCGTCGTCCGCGCCCGCGGCCGCCGCCGCGAGGGCGAGGCCGCGCGCCGCGCGCCGCGCGCCGCGCGCCGTCGCCGCGGCCGCGGCCCAGGCCGCGGCGGCCGCGGGGTCGTCG